GGGGGGGGGGGGGCACTTGTACCAATAGGATCATAAGTTTATATTTATTTTTAGAAAAACAATACTCCCTCCGTTCCATTTTATGTAAACTTATTTCCTTTTTGGTCCGTTCAAAAAAGAATGATTCCTTTTTAAATTTAGAAATAATTTAGCTTAAATTTCTAATTCTACCCTTAATGAGAAGTTTTAATAACCACACAAATACTCTGGAGCCCTTTCTCACATGTTTAGGACCATAAATTCTAAAATATTTTTATTTTTTTTAAATTTCGTGCCCAGTTAAAAAAGTTAGCATAAATTGGAACGGTGAGAGTACGAGGTTTCCTTTAAAAACAGTGTAAAAGGAAAGATATACTACTAAGAACCTTTGACCAACAAAGTGGGCCCCAAAAATCAATTAAGGTGAGGTTGAGAATGCAAATTTTGGAAGAAATCATCACACTTATTCTTTGTACTAGTTAATTTCTCTCAACTTCCTTTCCACTTCCTTCTTGGTTTACATTTTACAATACTGAGATCTCTCTTTTATATATTTCTCACAAAGTTACAATTATACGATACAATGCATTGCAATTATTTTTTCTTTGTTCTTCCAAGAAAGTCATCTCACAATATTATTCTAGAAAAGCTATAGTTTATAGTATGTGATATTGATGAGTTAGACTTATTTTTTGAATTAAAAGTGTTAAGGTAAATAGTACAAGTTGATGATAATATTATAATTGATACACTCAATCCGATAAAAAGGCTCGATTCTTTTTCAAATGCCTATATTGCTTATAGAATAATGTTAATAATTCATGTAAGTTGCTTCAGTGGAAAGATATTTTTCAAAATTAAAATTGATAAAATCTTATTTAAGATCAATAATGTCTCAGGAGAGATTGAATGGACTAGAGCTATATTATCAATTAAAAAAGAAATATTAGAAGAAATAGATTATAAAATAATTATTCATAACTTTGCATCACAAAAAGTTAGAAAAATAGATTTCATATATATATATATATATATATATATATTCTTTTTTGAGAATTTTTTTTAAGGCCTCTCATTAAAGTTTGCTTTAGGCTCCAATAGTAGTGAGCCGCCCCCGGTCATATTCTCCTCTTCCAAATATTTTAAGTATCTGAACACAATTTCAGAAAATCCAAGCATGCATTTGTTTTCCAAACAGATTTCTAAAATCAACTCTTATAAACACTAAACGAGAACCAAATAGCAGTGCACCTTAGCTTTGACATTTTTCCCGCAAAACCTTACCTTTGAGTCTTTGACATTCACTAAAATAACTTTCCTCTCTTTTTCCTCTTTCACTTAGCTTCAAAGACAAGTGTAATTTAATTCATGTTTGCTCCAAAGCTCAAGAACCTACCTTTGAGTATGTGACACACTGACGCTTACTCCCATTGGGCGGAATATTTAGAATTTAGATTTGACCGTTTTAATTTTTAAATAAAAGCTCTAAACATATTGTACTTTTAAATTTAATATTTGTTGATATTTTAATATTTTCTTTTAACATATATAGCACATTCTGTATAAAAAAAATATCAAGTTCAGTTGAACCCATTACATGTAAGTTGTATCCGCCTCTGCCCCTTCTCCCAAGCAGAAACTAAATCAACATGAAATAGAAGAAAAAAATTTATTATTGATGCCATAATGTGATGTATCTTTAATCAGTTTTCTTTATTTCTTTTACTGAAAAAGATGTAGCAATTGAATCAAAACAATATAGAGTACAAAACAGCTAATCGACTAATATGGAAACAGTACCGAATGCATACATTTCCTATCCGTTTTAACTTGTAATTACCGTACACTTAGATTGATAAAATATAGACCATTAATATCAAAGTTTGCATATACACTATGCTTTTCAAATTCTACATGTGAGAATGTACCGAGTATTGTTATACAAACCATTAATATCAAAATAGGACATTCATGTTCACTCATTCAAGTAAGAACTTGGGAATCAAGACAATAAAAAATGAAGAGAAGTAAAATCCAAGAGGTGCAATGCATAAAATTAAAAATAAAAGAGTAGGGGTGAATTACTCAAAATAATGATTGCTTCAAATACATACATACCTTACCTACATAAGATATAAATAATTGCGTTATTTCTGAAGATAATCCGACAAAAATCTCATTCTGTTTTGGGTATCACTTAGCTCTAGTTTGGGATATAGAAACGACGACGATAAAGTAGGCAGGTTAACATGGACTATGTGTGTGGATTGAATTCTCACGGTCACCTTTCTCCCTTTTCCTTCCCTAATCCCTAGTGGAATAAAAAAAAATTATTGGTGAGTATTGAAATTTTGATGATTAATAAAGTTTGTTTAGATGCAATGTTCGAAGAATCATGTTTTCAATGTAGCTGCTTAACTATTCTAAGAACCAGCTCCTCAGGGGTAAAGGACCAGCTCCTCAGGTTGATGATTGAACGCCTGCACAAGGCAATAACTTTATCTCAAAGTTATCCAGGTCCGAGTTTGGTGGAAGAAGGCTGCTACATGGGATAAGAGTTGTTGCACAAGAAGATTCGGATAAATCAGTAAGAGACAAGAGTCCCAAAACTTGTGGAGTCCTTGAAATAGTAGGAGTCCTATCAAATGAGAAGCTGACTATGCATAGGACTCCTAGAAGATTTTAAAATCTTAGTGTTTAAATACTATCTATTTTGGACTTCTGAAACAATCCTTTTACACATCAACTGAATAATTACATTTTGTACATATTAGTCGAGTACCAGGGTTGTGTTCTTCTTGAGTCGGTCTAGTGAATGTGTTTTAGAAAATCGAGTTGTAATCAAAGTGTCACAAACAATTAGTGAGTTGAAGTGAGTGTTTGCTTTACAAGTTAGAGTAACTTGTGAATCAAATAGTCGTAATAGGAGTACTGGAGAGTATTAAATTACAGTATTGTAATTGATACATTTTGGCTTATTGTTCTAGTGAAGTTGAAGTTAAAAATCCTGCACAGT